GAGGAGCAGGAAAGCTGACGTTTCGGGTCTAGACCCTTCTTCATAAAAATGATTCAGTTTTTCTGAAGAAAGGTCTGGACCCGAAACGTCAGCTTTCCTGCTCCTCTGATGCTGCTTGGCCTACTGTGTTCATGCAGCTTTACACCTTGTTATCTCACTTGACAGACGGGATTTGTCATGAGAAACTTGTTCGTCACCTTCCGTGTTTCCCATTCTATGACCTGATGGACGCCTGCTGCTTGATTTTGCTCAGGAAGGTTGCTCCTTATAGGGCAATGAGATGGAAGACAGGCAGCCGGTGGATTGAACTTGTCTTCATGGAGTCCTATGTGAGGTGCAGCTACATGGTTTCAGTCAGCCTGTGGGACTTTGTCAGTCGAAGGCTGTGTAGGGCATTGACGTTTGCAAGGACAGGAAGCCCTGGAGGAGTGTTGATCAGAGGGTTCCAGTTATGATGTGCACTTACATTCAGCTGAGTGTCAACAAGATGTAGTGTGTAATAAACTTTGCCAGACCGGAGCACCCTATCCTGTTCCAGAATGCAGAGCAAGTGATGACGTCAAAGTATTGTAGCATCAGTGTCCCACATTGATCCAAGTTTGTTCAGTAGTTTGTTAGTCAGTATGACAGCTATGACAAAAAACTGTGACAATATGGATTTTGAATGAAGAATAGCCTGCGTTCATTTGTTATTCACTCCATTCATCCCTTGAAACTTTTGTCTCGAGTTATCAAGACTGAGAATGTGAAATCTAACACTGTTACAAGTTGTACTGTGGACAATCAATTTGATTTTTTTTGGATGCAGTTTTGTCCATTGCTATATTGCTAACATAATGTGTGCCACTGGCATCAATTTTTAGATAATAATCCAATATTTAGTCCGTTGCCAAATGCTAATCCAATATTCAAAGAAATATTTCAGTGTATTTTGCATTTTAAGAATATTTCATTCTCTGTAATATTCATGAGTAATTTTTTGCAATAACAAAGGCTAATTGAATTGTCCTAGTACTGAAGATGACTTTCAAATTTCATCAAAAATTTATATCCTGATGGTTGTTCCTTCCCTCCTTTATAGGTTCTTCTCAGCAATACATTGGACAGGAAGATTACTATGGTGAGCAATATGGACATGGCCAAGGACCCACAGATTCCATTAATCAACAATATTACCCTGATGGTACTTCATTTTTCCCTTAGACTGCTAGCCATATTTGTAATATGAAGTATTAATCTAAGTGGATGAAGGTACTTAACTACCAATAAATCAGTTGGGCTACAACCTGCTAACTGGTGCATATGGAAATGGCATTGTGCTAAAAGTCAGAGAGATTTTTTTTTTGAGTTTTTTAATCTTAAGTTGCACTGTATGTGTGCTGTCAATATTTCTGAGAATAAAAATAACTTCTAATTGTTCAAATGTTAAAGAAAAAGATTCCACTCTTTAACAATCTTTCTCTGTATTTTATAAAGAATTTTAAAATAAACTTCGCACATACAGGGAATCTACCCTATTCGTTGTCCCAATATTCAATGTTTCACAAATATTTTCCTATTTTGTTAGGGAGCCTTCTTTGGCATTCATAGAACATAGAACATTACAGCGCAGTACAGGCCCTTCGGCCCTCGATGTTGCGCCGACCTGTGAAACCAATCTGAAGCCCATTTAACCTAAACTATTCCATTATCATCCATATGTTTATCCAATAACCATTTAAATGCCCTTAAAGTTGGCGAGTCTACTACTTTTGCAGGCAGGGCATTCCACGCCCTTACTACTCTCGGAGTAAAGAACCTACCTCTGACATCTGTCCTGTATCTATCACCCCTCAATTTAAAGCTATGTCCCCTCGTGCTAGCCATCACCATCTGAGGAAAATTCATTCGGCTGTTCTGTACTTGCATTATGCTGCTGAAAATTCATTCATAAATTATTGTGGGAAATAAATCCCTGTTTTCATTCTTTCACTATTCGTCATGATTTTCTGAAATGTCTCTCTGCGAATAGCAAGAACCCACTGTAGAACAAAATTGATTCTCTTTCGCTTTCAAATTTATGATATATTCACTGTAGCATATGCCACATGAGCCTGTTTTATTGAATAGCAAAGTTGCTGACTCTGCCCTCAAGCCTAATTCATTTTTCGAGGCTGCCTACCTGAAAGCCATCAATTCCTGCCTGGATCCTGCTAATAAAGTAAAATTAAACTAGTTTTCTAGCATGGAAATTTCAGTCTATTCCTCTTAGTGTTGAGTGTGTGGTATTCTCACCCATCGAGGAGGCAGGTAACCGGAGAGGTGGTGAGTTGTGGCTCTTAAGTGGCCATTGAACACTTAACAATGTTAATTTCAGAAGAGTTGAGAGAGGCTCCAGTGGATTTTCTCTCTTGTTTTTATTTCAAAAATATACTTTATTCACGAAAAATCTCTTTGTGTATATACGTTATCACGAAAGCAGTTCAGTTCTGTTTGATTGCATACCAAGTAAATAAACAAGACATTGGACTTTGAATCTATCTTTGAAAAAGAGCCCAAAGACCGCTTATACAATACTCGTATTTACATATACTTGAGGCGCTAGGAGGGTCTCATAACTGAACGGGCCCCCATTTACCTGCAGTGGAATGACCTCAGACCGTGATCTTTCCCCACTGCACCTCGGTGGCAGCTGCCCCAAGCTTTAGCGCGTCCCCCAGCATGTAGTCCTGGACCTTGGAATGTGCCAGTCTGCAACATTCGGTCAGGGTCAACTCCTTGTTCTGGAAGACCAACAAGTTTGAGGCAGATCAGAGAATGTCTTTCGTCGTATTGTTGGTCCTCCAGGCGCAATTGATGTTTGTCTCGGAATGCTCCCAACATTTTATTGCTGAGCTTGTGAGAAGTGGAAATGCACCCAACTATTTCCCCTTCTCACTCGCCACTTCTCACATCTTAGATGTGATATGTGTAATGATAGGGTGATATAGCAAGGAAAGAGGTTATTCAGCCCATTGTGCCTATCAATCAGCATTGACTGTATATTCTTCATGGCAATGTCTCTACCAATTAGAATCCGCCTGGCAACCAATCAGCACTCTCCTCTCATACAGGCTGAATGTTGGCATTCCCTTTAAATCAGTTTTCCTGTGAATTGTTCCGATGAGTTCAATATAAATGGCTTCAACAAAATGTATATTTTTCCAGTACTCTCCCTATAAGCATAATTTCAAAACACCAGATAATGAGCTCTATAATCAATGTTTGTGTATCAAAAATGTCTTGTGACTATTTCCATGTGATTTTTGGTGGCATAGTTCTATTTCGCCTTGAGCTGATTTTAGAAGGATGATTTAGAAAACTGTTTTGTTCAAAGATGATGTAGCATGATTTTAATGAAATGTAGCACTGTTAAAAAGTGTAAACTGATCCATTTCATTTTGTTTTTCGCAATATGCATTCCAGGCCATGGTGAATACGCATATCAGCAATCATCATATGCAGAGCAAGGTTACGAGAGGTCATTTGAGGAATCCTCACAGCATTACTATGAAGGAGGTAATGTATGCTTCTGTGCAGTAATACTTTGTAACTGTTGCACCAATGTGAAGCTCTGCTCTAATAGTAAATTTAAGTTTAGTTTGGGGGTAGTGGTCTCATCTTCCATGTCATGAAGGTTAACCAACGTACCATGCTATGGAAGAGTGGATTTGATACCTGCTTGGTCCGTATGATCACAAAAGAGTCCACGTGAAAAGGGAAGTTTAAAAAGAGTGTGTGCGGAATAGAAGTAGGTCAGTAAAATGTAACAGTTCAGCAGTCAGTAATGAGATACATTTGTGAATTTTCCTTCCATAAGACATAGGAACATAAGACATAGGAAACTGATAAAGAAGGTAAAAGCACATGGGATCCAGGGTAACTTGGCAAGTTGGATCCAAATTGGCTTAGTGACAGGAGACAGAAGGTGGTGGTCAAAGGCTTTTTATGTGACGTAAGGCCGGTGTCCAGTGGCATACTGCAGGGGTTATTGCTGAGTTATTGTCGCTTATTGATCTATAGCACTGAAAGTGTTTGGGGGAGTTGATAAATAAGCTTATGGATGACATGAAGATTGGCCGGGTGGTTGAGAGTGAGGATGAAAGCTTACTGGAGGATAGAAATAGATTGTTACGATGGGCAGATCAATGGCAGATGGAATATAACCCTGATAAGTGCAAGGTGATGTACTTTGGAAGAAGTAAGAAGACAAGGGAGTACTCAGTCAATGTAAGGACACTAGGAAGCTCAGAGGAACAGAGAGACCATGTCCACAAATCCCTGAAGGTGGTAGGGCTGGTTAATTGGATAGTTAAGAAAACTATTGGACGCTTGCCTTTACCAATCAAAGCATAGATTGTAAGAACAATGCAGTTATGTTGGAACTGTACAGAGTTTTGGTTAGGCTACAGCTGGAATACTGTGTGCCGTTATGGTTGCCATGCTATAGGAATGATGTGATTGCATTGGAGGGGATGGAGAGGAGATTTACCAGGGTGCTTGAAACAAAAAGAGAAATTGCTGGAGAAACTCAGCAGGTCATAGAATTATATAGCATGGAAACAGACCCTTTGGTCCAACTCATGCATGCTGACCACGTATCCTAAACTGAACTAGTCCCATTTCCCTGCGTTTGTCTGGCAAACATCTGTGGAGAGAAAGCAGTGTTAACGTTACAGGTCCAGTGACCCCTCTTCAGAATTTTTTTTTCACCAGAATGTTGCCTGAGATGCAGCAACTGAGATGCAGTCTAAGATCATAAGACCATAAGACATAGGAGCAGAGATTAGGATATTCCGCCCATTGAGTCTGCTCTTCCATTCAATCATGGCTGATAAATTTCTCAAACCCATTCTCCCGCTTTCTTCCCATAACCTTTGATCCCCTTGACATTCAAGAACCTGTCTATCTCTGTCTTAAATATACTCAATGACCTAGCCTCCACAGGCTTCTGAATTCCATAGATTCACCACTCTCTGGCTGAAGAAGTTTCTCTTTGTCTCTATTCTAAAGGGTCTTCCCTTTACTCCAAGGCTGTGGCCTTGGGTTCTAGTCTGTCCCACGAATGGAAACATCTTCACAACATCCACTCTGTCCAGACCGTTCAGTATTCTATAAGTTTCAATTAATTCCCCCTCATCCTTTTAAACTCCGTTGAGTATAGACCCAGGGTTCTCATATGTTAAGCCTTTCATTTCTGGGATCATTCTTGTGAACCTCCTCTGGACCTGCTCCAGGGCCAGTACATCCTTCCTGAGGTATAGGGCTCAAAATTGCTCACGATATTCTAAATGTGGTCTGACCAGAGCCTTTTAAAGCCTCAGAAGTACATCCCTGATTTTGTATTCTAGTCCTTTCAAAATAAATGCCAACATTGCATTTGCCTTTCTAACTATCAACTCAACCTGCAAGTTTACCTTAAGAGAATCCTAGACTAGAACTCCCAAGTCCCTTTGCACTTCAAATTTCTGAATTTTCTCTCCATTTAGAAAATAGTCTTTGCATCTATTCTTCCTACCAAAGTGCATGACCTCACATTTCCCCACGTTGTACTCCATCTGTCACTTCTTTGCCCAGTCTCCTAACCTGCCTAATCCTTCTGCAGTCTCCCCACCTCCTCAATCGTACCTGTACCTCTACCTATCTTTGTATCATTTCAAACTTAACCAGAATGCCCTCAGTTCGTTCATTAGATCATTAATGTATAAAGTGAAAAGTTGTGGTCCCAACACTGAGTCATGGGGAACACCACTAGTCACTGGCTGCCATCTTGAGAAGGACGATTTTTAACCCCACTCTCTGCTTTCTGCCAGACGGCCAATGTTCTATCCGTGCTAGTACCTTGCCTCTGACACATGGGCTTTAATCTTACTCAGCAGCCTCCTGTGCAGCACCTTGTCAAAGGCCTTCTGGAAGTCCAAGTAGATAGCTCTCCTTGGTCTAACCTGCTCGTTACTTCCTTAAAGAATTCTAACAGATTTGTCAGGCATGACTTCTCCATGATGAAATCATGCTGACTTTGCCCTATTTTACCATACACTTCCAAGTATTCAGAAATCTCTTCCTTCACAATGGGCTCCAAAATCTTACCAATGACTGACGTCAGGTTAATCAGCCTGCAATTTCCCGTCTTTTGCCTCCCTCCCTTCTTAAACAGGGGCGTTACATTAGCGATTTTCCAGTCCTCTGGAGCCCTCCCTGACTCCAGTGATTCCCGAAAGATCACCACCAATGCCTTCTCTATATTTTCAGCTATCTCCTTCAGAACTCTGGAGTGTAGTCCCTCTAGTCCAGGTGATTTATCCACCTTCAGACCTTGCAGTTTTTATAGCACCTTCTCCTTGGTGATGGTCCCCATACTCACCTCTGCCCCCTAAACTCCCTTGAATTTTTAGGATGTTATTCATGTCTTCCATCGTGAAGATTGATGCAAAGTAATTGTTCAGTTCCTCCACCATTTCTTTGTTCCTCATTACTACTTCTCCTGCGTCATTTTCCAGCGGCCCAATGTCCACTTTGGCCTCTCTTCTGCCCTTTAAATATCAAAAGAAACTCTTGCAATCTTCTCTTATATTACTGACTGGCTTACCCTCATATTTAATCTTCTCCCTCCTGACTTCTTTTTTAGTTGTCCTCATTGGTCTTTGTAGGCTTCCCTATCTTCTGGTTTCCCACTGCCCTTTGCTGCATTATATGCTTTCTGTTTTGCTTTTATGCTGTCCCTGATTTCCCTTACCAGCCATGGTTGTCTCATTCTCCCTTTAGTATGCTTCTTTTTCCTAGAGATGGATTTTTGCTGTGTCTCCCAAATTATTACTGGAAACTCTTGCCGTTGCTGTTCCACTGACTTCCCTGCTAGGCAGTCAATTCTGGTCAACTCCTCCCTCATGCCTCTGTAGTTGCCTTTATTCAACTGTAATACTGTAACATCTGATTCCAGCTTCTCCCTCTCAAATTGCAGGGTACATTCAATCATATTATGGTCACTGCCTCCTAAGGAATCCTTCACCTTAGGCTCCCTTTTCAAGTCTGCCTCATTGCAAAATACTAAATCCAGTATTGCCTGTTCCCTAGTGGGCTCCACCACCAGCTGCTTCAAAAAGCCATCTCATAGACATTCCACAACTTCCTTTTCTTGCGATTCACTGCCAACCTGATTTTCCCAGTCCACCTGAATATTGAAATCTCCCATGACCACTGTAACCTTGCCTTTCTTACACTCCTTTTCTGTCTCCTGATGGATCTTGTGCCCACATCCTGACTACTTTTGAAGGCCTGTATGTAATTCCCATTATGGTTTTATTACCTTTGTGGTTCCTCAATTCTACCCATTTGACAATGAAGAGAGGCTGGATATGCTTGGGTTGCTCTCTTTCGGGCAGAGGGACTGAGGAGGCATCTGTTTCAGGTGTACAAGATTGTAGGGGCATGGGCAAGATGAATAGAAAGCAGCTGTTCCCCTTAGTTGAAGGGTCAATAACAAGGGGGCATAATTTTAAGGTGATTGGCAGAAGGTTCAGAGGGAATTTGAGGAAGATGTTTTTTGACCCAGAGGGTGGTAGGGAGTCTGGAAAGTACTGCCTGGGACGATAGTTGAGGTGGGAAACCTCATAACCTTTAAACAGTACTTGGATGAGCACTTGAAATGGCATAATATTCAAGGCTATCAGCATCGTACTGAAAAGTGGGACCAGTGTAGACTTAGCGTAGTTTTGGTGGTACAGGGCCAATGGAGCAAAGGTCCTCTTCTGTACTGTATGATTCTGTATGAAAGTGGGAAGACCTCACCTTGGTGCAGTAACAGCTGCTATTCAAGGGTGGGTTGTAATGTACTGTTGGAAGCCCGCATGTAGTTTCAATAGCCCAGAAGATACTGTTTTTCACAATTACTTGGAGTATTTTATTTCGTGGCCCCTGTTTAGGGGTGGCTTTTAAACTTTTGATCGCACTTCAGATCCTGTTCTATGGTCACCTATGGGGGTGTGTGGATGGTGGGTGTGTTTGGGGAAGACTATGGGAAGATCGGTGGACCTCTTTGTGGGTCTGCTTCCAGGCTAGGGCAAGCTAGCCATTAATAGGTCCAGGCACCGGCTGGGGATTTGTACTGTATGCTCCTCCTCTGTGATTGCATTTGCCAGTGAGTGTCCATGGAGCATTGCAGTGGCTACTGGCACATAGAGGTCTTTCGGGACCAATGGACACCTCAGGAGTTGCGTTGCATAATTACCCTGGTAATAATATTTTGATGTGTTTCCATTGTAAGTTTGCAATAATCTGTTTTTTGTTTTGCTGCAGCGGCCTATCAGGGGCTGTGTATACCATGATTGTTTATTTAAAAAGGAGTGGAAAACATCAAAGCGCATCTTACATTCACAATGAATATTAAAAGTACTCATTCCACAGATGAGCTATCTGTCCCTGACATGCACAATGTAACACTTTCCAGCAGGGCCACTGGCAATCAGGATCTGCAATATCTTACAATATTGTGCCACAGAATTTATCTGGGCTTGGCCCAGGAATGAGAGTACCCTTAAATTGTTGGAGAATTTGTATTGCTTGTTTGTTTTTTTTTTGACAAGGGCAGTTAAGTCTGATATCCTGTTTCATTGTTATCTTTAGGAAATTCCCAGTATACCCAACAGCAGACAGCTTACCAGCAGGGACCAACCCAGCAACAAACTTACTCCCAACAGCAATACCCCACCCAGCAGAGCTACCCAGGCCAACAACAAGGATATGGTGAGTATGAGAGAAAAGTCCACAATTAATTGTGAACACTTAATTTGTGGTTAATGCATGATGTGCTAACTGACTTTTGTCATACCGTAATTTCCGAAACAAATAAACTAAGCAGCTGCCGGAACCCGGTCAGCAATTACCAGGCTGGCTTGATCTTACAATAATGCACTTTAAGAGTGCAAATTACTGGTCTAACATTGTGGATTGCCACATGCATTTAGCAAAATTGCACTGCACTGTTGACAGTATCTGATCTGAGCTTAACACCAACCAAATCATTCTCAACACATGTATGTGTGCCTTTAAAGCACCCGATTCATGGTTTATGTTGTTGCAACATTCATGTCTGCATATCTGACCTTGCTTGCGTTAATATAAAAACAACAGTGTAATTAAAGCCATTGCTCTGTCTCAGCCTCGCTGTTGCCCCAGTAGGTAAATCCAGGTAGGCAGACTCAAACACTGAAGATGAGCAAATGGTTTTACATTCACTAGCTGGGCCACATAAAACTCTATCAGATCCTGAAAACCCTCTCACTATTCCAGAATGCACAGCAGGGCAGGAAGGAAGTTAATAGTCTATACTTCACTAGGGTGAGTATGACCATTTTATCCCTTCTACCTCACACTCACAGGGCCACCCTTCACTCTAATTCTGCCATCACACATGCATCTCACCAAGTCCCATGGATCACAACCCCTCATGATTGCATACTACATGTCCATTCAACAGCTCGCACCCACTTAACCTCCCAAGCAGTTTGCTTCATACTGAATCACTGGGGCCATCTCACCACCTCTCCTGCTCGCACATCACCACCAACAGTTTGTCCATCTTACTGAATCCTTCCTTTTGTCTCATTGCAGGAGAAATAGTCTCCAGACCAGGCTGAGCGAACCAAAACATGGGGGTTGTTGGGGTATTAGACATCACGCTGCTCGCTCCTTTTGTGGAGGAAATGTTCAAGTTAGCTAGAGTGAAGCATAACTGCTCATTTTGGATCAGGGAGGATTCAAGACCCTACCAACCCAGTAAACTTCACAATGCTATGCAATGCTGTCCTCTCATTATCACCAATCCTAATTCGATCTTAACCTGCTCAAGCTTTTATTTATCTTAGATAACTAATTCCTCCTTTTATGCAAACACTAATGTCAACCAATAAATCTCAGCCAATAAAAACAGAACAGGAAATCCTCTGCTCAACCTCCACCTCTGAATAGGAAACCACAGATCCCTCAGAGGGATGCGCCAATAAGGCTTTCTACTGCACCAACTCAGAGACTTTCATCTCGGTGGTTACTCTCTTTCCGGGTTAGGTTTGGGCGCAAAATTTGGTGATCACATCACTGACACATCCCTGCAATTGGTCGATGAAGAAACGTCTCAGGCAATCTGAGAACTGTGGACACCAGGCACCTGCCAAGTCCCAGGCAGAAGGCAATCTCATTAATGACTTTGTGAAAATACACAGCCAGCCATAAGAACAGCAGATAGATTTGTCAGAGGCTGATTTGTCTGGACAAAAGGTAGAGGAAGACGGTGCTCAAGGAGCATGCAGGGAAGACGAGTTGAACAAAAGCTAGGACAAGCAAGCAGTGAGCTGCAATCACCAGGTAACTGCTCTGACGTTCATGTTAGGAATTGGCATGGTCCAGTTTCTAGGGCAAGGAGAGGAGAAATGGACATGGCAGAGAAATGAGGCAGGTTTGGTTTGTAATTAGATAAAAACGCATAGAAATAAGGCAACTGCCACTCAATAGTGAGATTCTGAACTCAGCATTTAAAGTTTGAGGAAAACATGAAAAAGTTTTCTCTTAATGTCCAAGTTCTGTTTCTGTTATTTCATTCTTGCCATATTTTCCCAATGTTTTCATATTGCCAATAGCATTCAAGAGATTAGAAGATTCCACCCAAGGTGTTTTTAGTTTATCTGATATGTCCACAATGTTACATGATCATACTGCAATTGATGCATTACTGCAATAATACGATAAGGTGCTCACTGGGAAATGTAATCAGGCTGTGACATGCCAGCACCTGGCTGTAACAGAGTCTGCATGCTGGCGCAGCACCTCGCTGTAGCAGACCCTGCATGCTGGCCCAATTCACATGTGGTTAACCACCGTTTGGTCATTTGTTTAGCAAGAGTAGCATTTCTCACTCAACCTTAGTTGCTCTTGAGAAGGAAGGCAAATTTCTGTAGTCCATGTGAAGTTAAAGGTCCAGTGATTTTGACCCAGTCTTAGTGAAGAAGCAACAATATAGTTCTAACTAAGGATGGTATGATCTTCTTAGGGAAATGATGTGATCCCATCCCATGCACTTAAGTCTTGTCCTTCTTGTTAGTAGAAATTGTGGATTTGGAAACTGCTGTTGAAGAAACCTTCTATAATCTATAATACGTCCAATAGTTGGTACTGACTTGATCCATGGTATGTCAACCATGCAGGTAGTAGATGTTTAATGTAGTGACTACTGAAACTTGCATTGTCATGGTGTAAAGCTTCCTCAGCATTGTTACATGGTAGTCAGTATCTCTGACTTATGCCTTGCAGATATATTTAGTGCAGGTGTTCTAATAAGTTTTATTTTTCTTTTCAACATTGTCCTTATAATGATTTTTGTTTCAAACTATTAGAAAATATAAATCAAAGCTATAATTTTGAACATTACATGACAATTGCTCTGAATAATACCTGTCTTCCTGGTTATCCACAGGTTTTTTGTTTATTTCAACATCTGATTTATTTAGTAGCATGACAGATTATCTTGTCAAGATAATAGTTGAGGAGGCCTCGGTAGTTTTAACTTTTGGACGTTGTGATGAGTTTGTACTTTTGTTCCAGATGGATGACCTAGGATGGACTAATTCCTTTTGTCATCTCTATCTCTTGTTGATAACAATTTGAGAGCAGCCTAAGGAAGGTTGCAAGTAACATATAGGTGAGATCAGAAGCCACACAATAGAGCTCATAACCAGATATCTGCTTCCATTTATCATTAACCATGTATTATCAACTGAGATTCACTCCTTGATGAAAATTGAATCTTCAGTGGAGATGACAGAAAGGTGCCTGAGCAATTGATAATCCTATGAGAAAGGGATTGTGACTCAACATAGAAAAAATAGAGGCTTCTGACCAGACTGTGGCAACAATAAAAATGAATTTTTCATGGAAAATGTGTCTTGATTTTATAAATGTATCATAACTCAAGTTTTTTTCATGAACAGTGAGTGTTGATTTAAAAATAGAACATCAAATATATAATAGTATGAGTCAGCACTAAGATAAATGCTGCAATTGACAATTGATGCTATAAACCAGATTAACTAGTTTGATCATTGTGGCGTGTGTGAATCTAACCACCTTTGAAGCTGTCTGATTGGGAGTTATATTCAGATTAATATGCATCAGAAAATTAGTCTAATGTAGAAATGTGAACACTTGTACAAGAAAATCTTGATTTGCGTTTTGATCCAAACTTTATTGATATGTAACCTAACTAAGATGTCACAGTTAAACTTCACAACAATCTCTATATACATAACCCATAAAGTGAGAAATACGAGTTCAAAATGTTAAGATCCCTAACAAAGTATGCAGACATACCAACTGTCTAATAACTCCTGATGATTCAGGTATATAATGATAATTTTTTCAAGATGAGTTATTAAAAGTGATCTGACATTTCCTATAACTTGGAGATTTCCAGTTGGCAACTGTATAAGTTGTACTTTACAGGTCTTTTTTCAGTTGTTCTAATCAACACAGAAAATACATTGAACCATGCAACAATTTTTTTCTCAGACAACTTCACTCAAAATTAAACCTAGTATGCAGTCGGTAACAAAGGGAACCTATAGTGTGGTGTAATGTCCCTACCTCTGAGCCAGGAGGCTTGGATTCACATCCCATCTGTTCCAGAAGTGTATAATAATACCTCTAAACATGTTGACTAGAAAACATCTATACTCAGTGACCAGGGAAGGTTGAACTTCACATCTAAATGCATTTTTAAAAAAAATCTCCTAACCACTGGTTTGAAGATAGTATGATCTGAATTAACATTACCCTAATTCATGTGCTGATGTGCTCAGTAATCAAAAGGATTGTAACAAAGGCTGAGCTTGTCCTCCTTTTATCTTTTCCTAGCCTGGGAATGCTGAGGCCTTTGTTCCATTATTGTTATTGTTGCCATGGGTGAGATTAGTTACTTCAGTGGGCCCGCAACCTTGGTGTGCATTGCCTAGTGCCACATCACATGGTGTGTTACCTTTCTGAGCCATTGGGAACTTGTATATGGTACCTAATGTAATATCATACCTACAAGAGGTGCTACAGTTTTATCGTGGATGTGATATACACGTCATGCACAAGAAAGAACTCGAGCATTAACATTCAATATGCTTATTTGATACATTATAGGATAATTGTTTTCATAGCAATCAACAATGGTATGTTCCTTTCAAAAAATTCACTGCATTTCCTGAAATTTCTGAGTTTGTAAAGAAGCAAAAGGAGCCAGCTGTGTTATTAAAAACATACTGTAACATTGCAGGTCCGACCCAGGGAGCTGCTTCTCAGTATCCAGGTTACCAACAGGGACAGGGACAGCAATATGGAAGCTACAGAACCGCTCAACCAGGGCCCTCAGCTCAGCAACAGAGGCCTTATGGATATGAACAGGCAAGAGAGATCATCCCGTGATTTACTTCATTATACAGCTTTTTGTTAATCATTTTGTCATTTCCCATATTACAACAGTGAATACACTTGGTTGGCTGTAAAGCGCTTTGAGACATCTGATGGTCATATAAAGCACTATCTAAGAAATAAACTTTATTTCAAGGCAAGGCAAACCAATGGAGTTTCACATGTACACACCTCCTCCCCCACCCCACACCCGTTCCTCTCCCCTTCCCAATCTCACCCTCCCAAGAGACTACCTTATCAGAAATGTTTGGCTGTTTTCAAAACCAGATAAATTTTTGTTACAAAAATAAGATTGTGCTATGCACAATTTCTTAACTGTTTAATGGAATTCATACTCTGTCATCCAGCAACGAGAACAAATTAATATTTAATCTTGATGTTATTTTTAAAAACCCTGGTTTTGAAAACCTGTAAATTGGGGGAGGGAAATAAAAGTGATTCACTGTGCAATGGTTGCTCCTTCAAATTCTAAAATCAGAACCCTATGATTATTTCAATTGTAAACATCCAGTACATTTCTAGCATCCAAAATGTTGTGTGTTTAATGCATTACCTTTTTTTTAAAAAAAAGACTCCTTTGTAGTATTGCTGCCATTCGTTCTAAGCTGTCATTTTTTAAACCAAGAGACATGTGGTTTTCTTCTTTTTACATACAAATCAAGAATTAACCCTGAATTCTGAATTGCAATTATCATGGATATTTTGTATTTTTTTAAATTAAGAACGCCTGGGGAAAGGACAAAGACTAACATTGCAGCCCACCAACACTTTTAAATTAAGTAGATAAAAAGCTGTAATATATCTGGATGTGGTAATCAGTGACTCGGGTTTTCAAAGTCCAGATGTTGTGAAATAGAATGTTAAGAATTTCCATTGGTTTGAGGTCCCAGGAAAGGTTGAGATGAATTGAGAGAGCACACCTTGAGCCTTTGTTTCTGCTCAGAGTGCAGGAAGAGTCAGTGCATGGAAGAGGTGATTTAGGGCTCTAAGGGAACCCAAAGCAGAAGCTTATGGAGTGCAGTTATTATGTTAACATTATTTCTAATGGGAAGAGGGGGGGAGAGAGAAAGAAGTTTGAATTTAGGCGACAACTGTCGGTTGTCAATGAGGCTGATTTTTCCTATCAAAATGAACATATTGGGCTGGATTTGAAAGGATCAGCAGTAGGTAATATGGTGCCACTAGCCTCTGTGCCAGTTTGTTGTTGTGACCCTGACCCTGAACCACCTTGATTAGAACGTCTTTGAACAGGCTCAGCTGTCTGTTGGCAAGCAGTGGGCAACCAATGGAGACTAATTGGTGTTAGTTAATGGACTTTCAAAGGCTCTGTTTCTGCGCCATGGTGTGATCAGGTCTGATGGGCATCGGGGAAACTGAAAGATTTTGTGAGGGACTGCACCCCCAGACCCGTCACAGTCACTGAGGCATCAGATAGGTTTGCCCTCCGTGATCATGATGAGGTAATGGTGGCTTCTTAAAACGTAAAAATGAACTCACTCTCATCCCCATACTGCCTGGAGATTTATATATCAGCATTTCAGTTAATCGCAGAATGCTGAAGAGACTTTCATTGACCCTTCACATTTAGGAGATCATGCCCTGCCCTTTCCCTGTTGAATGGCGAGTCCCCCACTCCCTCTTCGTTAATTAGCCACAGAGGCTGTGATGGCACTGTCTAATGCTCACTATGCGAAGATGGGAAAAGGATTAAATCCCAAGTCTAGATCCCAATCCTGATTCAGAATCTGTCCCATCTTTAGACAAGCCTAGAAAAGTACTTGCTTGGTAGAAAATGGGCCAGGGAGAGTTCGGGTCATGCCCCTTGTCTCAAAAAGACACTGTGACATTTTTCTTTCAGTCACCCTTTCTGTTTTGTGTAAATGACGCCAAGGGAACAGGATTATTTTCTTTTTCTCTCTTGGCCTGTAACGTTTCCAATTTGTACTGCTGTTGGAGGAGTGAAAATGGGTGGTGTTCAGGTTGTCAGGGAGCCTAACCGACCACCTCTCCCTCTTTGAACCTATCCAACTGTTGGCTCGTTTTGCCATTTGGTCAGAGCCAAGAATATTTGAGGCTCTGTCTTTTTAAAGTCATTTTAGGTGCTTCAGTGAGTGCCTTGCTGCAACACCACATCTTTTTCATGTCCCACAGTGGTAGCTTTTCTCTGACTAGCAGAGAGAGAGCTGAGAAATTGCTATATATGCATGTTATTGGCCTCAAGCTTGTGAAGTGTGCTGTAGTCATGGTGGGACTAGACTGATAAAACAGAAGTCCTACTCTGAACCACTCTCATAACAATCTTGAGGTAAAAGTTTTTTTGCTATTCTTCATTTTCTTAAGCAGTACACAAGAGACATACAAGAAGAATCTATCTGGACAAAGTGAAAATATTTTGAGCTTTGATAGTCATTTGCTTTACCAGAGTTAGTGAGACAAGGAAATGTTTACATGTTATTGTATTCTATTATGTATGACGTAATAGCTCAAGGAATGCTCATGATGCTGTGGTATCATTTGTGATTAAGGAAGATGATTGTGTCTATCTGTGGGCTAATACATGTGAACTGGCCCAGATTTCTGATTGGTACCCATGGAAGACAGCTTGTCAGCTCTCAGCAGCTTGTCTGCAATCTGTAACTTAATCCAGCTACAGAGTTGAGACAGCATATGATGCTAACCCTACGGGTTTCAGAAAATGCAGAGTGCTCTAAAAGACTGCTGGCATGGAGGGTTTTCCACACAAAATGAATGTTTTAAAATTAAGTTGTTGGTGGGCTATGAGCCAATGTCATCAAATGAGCTCAGGGTATTGACTGAACAGAGCTTGCGGAGAATTAGAATATGTGCAGCAGAGGTTTGAATGAGCTAATCTCAATGAGGGTAGGAGATGGGTGGTTGGTCAGCACAAGAAATGAATCTGGCAAATAGCTGATAAGTTTGATATTATGCATGGTCAGAATCAAAGCAGAGTACCTCCAATGTTTGAATTGCATTGATTCCAGTCCATGAATGTGCTGTTACAATACTATTAGTTGGGGAGGATCTTAAGCCAGTAATGATGAAGCAATAGTAATATATGCCATAGTAAGAATTGTTACTTTTAAAGACTGATTATTTCTAAAAAGAAATTCAAACCTCCAATGAATGACTGAAAGGATCACACCACAAGATTTCGACTGTAAGATGATTACTGTAATAAACAAGCTAAAAGCATCATTTAGTGGAAGTCTCCCACCCTGGGCATACTTATTCTGCCCCTTAAGTGGATACTCAATTCTCCAGGAACCAATACAAAGATATTTTCAGTTCCATTCTCATTTCCCAGCCAAATAACTTCTACTCCCTAAGCTGAATTTTAGATTTCTTCTTCTAGCCAAAGCTAGGCAAATATCCTTGCTTTGTTTAAACTCTCTCAAACTCAATCATTTTAATCTGACTATGAGCTTCTGTTCACTGCCTGCATGGAAGAAAGTAAAAACTTGCTGGCTCTCCCTCTTTCTGCTGTCTTCCTCTCTTTCTCTTTCCTTTTTGGTTCTTGCAGATTGACTCTGACTCTGTCTGTCAAGTTCACTGATAGTTCAGAAACACCTTCCACCTGATCCAATGGGGTTTCCTGTGGACTCTTTCTTTCTCAAAGCCAATCCCTACGGCAATGTGACTCATGGACCTTGCATCCAGGTAGAAATGCTAACTAGTTTGCTTTAGACTCTTAATTCCATTCTATTTTGAAACTAAATTAACAGCTTAAAGGATAACCATTTACAAAACCTGACATTCCTAACAACATTCTGTTTTCTGGACATCGATAATTTATCCAATGTCATCACAGTTACTTGGGTCATTTTATACAGATGTGACTATCTTGCACTTTTGCTTTCCAAGTTGCACTCTTCTTTGGTCTACCTTTAGTTTTTAACAATGAAGCTGCCCAAGCTTGTTGTTGGACAGAGTTCAGAACAGGACACATGACTCCCTTCATTCCTCCATCTTACCTTAAATTAAAAAATCTTTACTGATGCACAACACTCTTTGAAACCCCATTTTTGCAACAGAATCCTGTGTAAATTGGAGGGGAACTTTGACATGATCTTGTTCCAATGTGCTTACTGCCCTTGTACTTCTATGTGATAGAGGTCAGGGGTTTGGGAGGTACTCTTTAGGTAGGCTCAGCGAGTTAATGCCCTGCATCTTGTAATTATTACATGAAGTGAATATTTAACATTGATAGGGTGCTGACCAAATTGCATTGCCCTAGATGATGTCGAACATCTTCAATGCTGTAGAGATGAAGATCACTCCATCGTACTCCAGACTTGAGCCTTCTAGAGGGTGAACAGGCTTTGGGGGGTCAGGAGATGAGCCACTCACAACAGAATATGTAGCCTCTCACTTCCTGTTTTTGCTTTCTTTCCTGGTACTGCTGTTTCTGTGAAATGGTGACCTCTCGGATGTTATCAGGAGTTTAGACATTGCTAGTTCTGGAGTACAGATCATTGTTATTGTTGGCATGTTGTTGGGGACCTTCATTGTTGTTATATCTACTGCATTCATCTATTTCTTGATAGCATGTGGTGTGAATCAAATTGGCAGAATTGTTGATGTGAACCTGAGGACACATCTGAGATCGGTCATTCCCTCTGCATTTCTGGCTAAAGGCAGTTCTATGTGCTTCAGTTTTTTCTTCTGGACTTGAGTGCTGGGCTGTGATGCCATTGAGGATGAGAAATCTCATGGATCCCTCTCCTCTTGTTAGTTGTTTAACATATACCACTTTTCTGACTGATTTTGTAGGACTGCAGATCTTTAATCGGATCACTTACTTAGCTGTGCCTGGTTCCATTTCATCCAGTCTCTTTGCTGAGGCAAATTAGAAGGGAATTCAGGCTTGGCCACAATTCTTAACCGTCCTTTGAATATTGGAATAATGTGAGAGAACTAGAGGACTGTAAATGATATTATTCAAAAAAGGAAGT